AGATTATATATATTTACAAAATATACATTATTTTCAAAATTATTATATTCTTAAAAATTACTTAATTAATTAACTTTGTGCAAATTAACAAGATATATTTTTTATTTTAACTCACAGCAATAATATATGTCTCAATTAAAAGTAAAATATTTGATGCTTTTCTCTTTTCTTATAAAATAATTACTAATTATTTATAATACAAAAAATATAGTTCACTTATACGACATGTAACAAGACATTGCAACACAATGTAATTAAAAAAAGAAAAAAAGAAAAGCATACATGCTTTGCATAAGCTGTGATAAGCTTTACAAGTAAGTGTATAATTTCACATTTATTTTATAAATATACTAATATTGAATGTGGACATTTGAAATACGAATATAAAGCAGAATTAAAACAGAGATATGCAACAAAATATCTTTTAAGTAATTAACATTTATTAATATTTTCTTAAAAAGTCACACAATAAATACATTAATTTATCTAAACATTTTTATTACATATCTGTGACGTTGAGTATAAAAAGCGTTTGCATTAGACACATACACTCTATTGGCATTCCCTATATATTGTACACTGATGTAAAGTATTAGCGAATTCGATTGGACGCACTAGTGTATACTAAAGCCATCGTACACAAATAGATGTAAAGATGTATTTATGCAATCGAATTCGCTATAAAATTGCCAAGATAGGAAATGCCACCAATTCTATTAACTTGTCAAAACACAAAATAAAATATGGTGCGAGAAAAAACAGCAAACCTATAGAATAATGCACTTCTTTTTCTTCCTCTTGGTACGGTCTTTACCTCGACTATTGCTTGCTGACTTATCTTCAATTTTGCGTGACCTTATTTCACGCATCAAGTCGAAAAATACCTGCAAATGTGCAATGGATGCTGTCTCAAAGCTTTAAGGCATATAAAATGTGCATTATGAAATAAATATATGTTTTTCATATATGTAAGAGAAGAAAATGAGAATTGTGCGCATATAAGCAATAGCACAATACATGGTGATATAACAATGTATATAAATATACATAGATTGCAATTAAGCCTATTTAAAAATGCATATTTCGTGCAATCGATTCATATGCGGTACATTACATTGAGGGTGAAAGTAAAAGCAACAAGAAATATATACGTAAATACATCTACTATTTTTGATAATTTAATTACATTAATATGAATATATGTATGTCTGTATGTATGTAGAGTATGCTTAATGAGATAAAGTGTTCTGTAGTAAAACATCTAATTTAACAATACTACTACAAAGCCTATAAAAAAAATGTTAATCCCACAAGTTTTTTATTTTACTAAAAACGAAATAGAGAAAAAAATCAAAATCAGAAAGTAATATCACAATTATTTTTTTAAATAAAGACAATAATAATATATAAGAAAAAATTACATATAGTATATAAA